ACTGTGAAAATCATGTCAAAATAGAAGTTGAATTTGTGTTCCCATATGGAATGCCAAACAATCTGTCAAAATGGGATGCGGTTACATCTCCTGGGCAGAGCTGAAGTTAGTGGGGTAATTAAGAATAAAACTACCCTATGCTTGCAAAAAAGTACATTCTTGCTTTGTGTTTACCTTGGCCTATTTTACGATTATAATAGACGTAATTATCTCATATCCCATGTCTCGTCATGTCCTTCTGCCTCTTAGCAATGTTTTCTCGGCCCTCCTTACTCCTATCCAATCAGTTTCTTCCATACTGTTATTGCTATTTCATGCATGTAGACAAGAAATACGCAATTTAGAGTGAAAGTGACGTCATTTTATTTCACAGGTACTTATTAGCCGCAGACTACCTGAAATTGAAATAGTTATAAAAACATGAAAATAACATATGAAAAAGAGAAGACCTCCAGCAAAGACTCTTTTCGGCGAATTCATTCACAGAGGTGTACAATCGCATTTATATACATTTATTTTTTTGGTGTGTGTACATGAGGTTTGTCAAGTTCAGATAATTAATTAGGTAATACAAGAATGATCTAATACAGAAACAACTTTAATTAGACAGCAACTAAAGTAAGATTGCGTTAGGAAGTTAGGTGATGTAATATAATTGACTAAAATGTTTCCACTTAGGTCAGGATAGCAACAGAGGTAATTACAGGTAGAGACTAAGTGGAGGTGGGGTAGAGAACGGTGTCATTTAAATTGGGACTAAAATTGAGCAAATAAATTGGATGACGTAACATAAATGACTAGAAATTGAGCGTTCGTTAAGTCAGTAACAGTAGTAATGAGATGTAGAAATTAAATCGAGAGGGGCGTTGGAGAACAGGAAAGTTGAAAATGTAAAATATTACAAATGAAAAGACAAGATAATACTAGTAATGAAGAGACAGAAATAAGTAGAATTTACCTAACAGGTATTAAGATAGGTTCCGTCTATTGCAAGTGTAGTGATTGAATGAACTTCTTCTGTAATCAAGTGAAGCAAGTGAATTGCTATTGCTTCTGCAGTTTGAAGAAGTTTGATTCGTACACTCTTGGGAAGACTGCTTTGTATTCTGTAGACAACTTTGAGTTTTGTTTGGAGATTAGATTGGTGTTCGGAATCTGTTACTTGTTCTAAGATAGAGCTGCAGGGACATCATTTGTCTCCTTTGTAAAACCATGCTGGTAAGTGTTCGGTGATATGTTTGGAAAGTGAACTCGTAGTACGGCCGACGTACCTGGCTCCACACGAGCAAGTGAATCGGTAGATATACATTGATGAGGCCAGCAGTGATAGCTTATCCTTCACGTTCATACGAATCATAGGTTTCGTGGAAAAGGTTAATCGTAGTTCAGGTGTGAAGAAGGTTCACTAAAGTGAACGGGACACTCAGTTTTTCAGTGTTTCCGCAGATGAATCTCCACTGAATTGAAGGTTCTTGTAGAGGAGTTTTTTTCGAGGCGCTAAGCGTGGGCGGCTTGTGTGGTCTAGGATACATGGATTTTGCAATAAATCATTCTGGATAACAATTCTTGACGAGGATTCCTCTGAGATTGTCCACTTTGTCTTCTATGGTATTCGGGGTGCAGATTCTGCGAACTCTGTAGCTGAGTGAACGGATCAGGTTTCGTTTGGTGTATAGAGATACCTAACTGTGAAAGTTAGTAAGCTATCGGTTCCACGTCGACTTCCTGTAGATAGATCTTTTCAGTGTTCCGTCTTGTTCTCGCCTTGTTAGTTGAACGTCAAGAAAAGATATTTTGGAGTTACGCTATTTCTCTAACGTGAAATGAATCGGGGGGTGGCAGTTATTGTAGGAATCTAAGATGTCGTCTGGAGTTTCTTCATTGTTGACAATAATGGAAGTGTCGTCGACGTATCTCTTGTAGAATTCGAAGGTATCGATCATTTTATTTAGGCATGTGTTTTCGAGTTTCGCCATGAAGAAATCCGCAAACAATAGGCCTAGTGGTGAGCCCATAGCTATACCATCCTTTTGGCGATATATTTTGTTGTTAAAAGAGAATTGAACATTCAGGGAACATCTCAGTAGGAGTTCTTTAAGACGCTCGGTGGGTACACCGATGTTTATTCCATTCTAGTGAATAAGCTCGCATATGTAGCATATTGTTTCAGTCAGTGGGACGTTTGTGAACAATGACGTGACATCTAATCAAATCATGGTCTTGTTGGATACGTTGACGTTTTCGATCGAGTCGCTAAAGTCGAATGAATCTCGAATTGTGTAGCAAGAAACATATTTCTGTATTGGAGTGGTAGCAGAAGAAATGTCATAAACTGGGCCATCCAAAATTTAAGCATTACAACTTTTATTTCATCTCATCATCATTTTCAAAGCAGATAACAATGCAGAGAAAACAGAAACCAAAGGGAAAATAATAAGGAGTCTTAGTTTTCAGGGATCCTTAACAGCCCAAGTAAATTGTAGTCCATAAGGTAGCAATAAGCTCAGTCAGATGAAGTCAGTAATATGGATGATAATGCATTCAATGTAATGGAAATCGAAAGTCATTTTCCAAGTTAGTGAGAAGTCAGTCATAATGCATATAACTCACAATCTAAAACTCATAATTTTGTTAATTAAAAATGCACTTAAAGGTCACTTATCTGTCTAATCCCATTTTATCCTATTTCCTTGATGACTGAACTTTTCCTGTATGCATTCAAAAAATGGTTGAAAACAACCAACTATTATTCCACCTTGTACTTATGTGGCGCGTGCTATTGACAAGAGTTTACAGGAAGTATGTTGTGTGTGTGACAGATTCTTGAATAACGGAGAAGTGGATTAAATTGTGAAGAGGTGAAGTGAAAGATCCTTATGAAACAGTAAAAAAGGGCATGAAAAGAAGACAAAAGACACAAAAAAAAACGAAGAACACTTGAAAATGGAAATTTCAGGGTAAGTATTCTGCATCTTGCCATGACTGTATATCATATACTAAATAAATAATTCTTCGACCAAATACTACCATATTCTCCTGTTACACTTGTTTTTTTGTTTTTATCTTTCACGTTCCCCAATGGAACATAGGGCTTCAAGCTAGTGGCTTGAAGTTTCTGTAGTAGTGTTTATTTTACAGGATGGGGTTGCTAGCCTCATGTCCAATCTTTCCTCTTCACCATCATTATTTCTGGCTTAGCGAGGTAAAGGAGTGCGTTGGCCGGGGATCGTACCCCGGACCATGTGCATGGTCGGCGAGCGTCCTAACCGCTATGCCACAAACGCTTGTACCGACACTTGTACCTGAATTCATTTTCTGATACAGTTGAGATTTGCTTTCAATGGCCATTGTATTCTAACATTCAGGAGTTTGTTTGCAGGGGTTTTGTTAAATTAGAGTTTGACCGCAGATTGATATCAGTTGGAGAACCACAGAAAACTAGCAAGTAGTGGACAGCCCTTTCGACCTATTTTGGGACTTACGGGGAGTACGCACCCACCAGCGAGGTTCAAACCCAGGACCTACTAACACTGATGAAATTATAACCATACAGCCTGAAGAAGTTATTGAAAAAACAGTCTTTCGCTTCTCCTGAATATATTGTAGGGGTATTGAAATCCACCGAAATAGTTTTTCATTTGAGTATACATCTGCTGATATAACAGGAAATATCTCTATTAGAACTTCTACACTTGTGATTGAGATACAAAGATGAATAATTAATATTTAGACTAAGATCTTTCTTAAAAAGGAGATTTGTGTAAATTTGAGTGTAGATTTCGTCACGAACCAACACTAGTTGGAGATCACTGAAAACTGGGTAACACTCACCAGCTGTTTCATTCTATCCTCTTATCTATAAAATAATCATCGTTATTTTGAGGTTTCTTTCATGAGATCGCTGGAAATTCTTCCAAGAAAATGAGTATTCTTCATACCTAACATAGAAATGAAACCTGAATACTGTTTTCGAATATAATACGCATAATACGGTAATTTTGCTCGGTATGTCACAATGATGTGGCATCACTTACTAGCTGGTAATGTTGCGTACACAGTGTTCTACTCATGGCTTGGAAAGTCATGTGTAAATAAATAATATTGTATCAGTGTGGGAGGAATGAAACATACCTTTGAGATTATGGAATTTCGCACACTTGTTAAACAGGTGAAGTTACGCAATAACAGCCTCCGAATGACTTCGAACAACCAGTCGAACTTAAAGAAGATAGAAATTGGTAAATTTGATGAGGAATTGTAAATTCAACTGTACAAACCGCTTAATTTATATGAGATGATTCTCCTTTATCTTAAACTAACCTTAACTCTAAACCCAACGAAATTGGACAAATAGATTAGCAGCGAACCGTGAATACAAAACATGCACAGCATTCATAGTAACGACGTGAATGCTTACCTCAGGGTTATTCTGAAGGTTTTCTGTGGTGACAGCTATTCTGTACCTTGGCTGTTAAACAACACTGATCTCTGAATCTGATAGAAGTATGTGAATTGCCTTGCTTTCCCTAGACATAATTTCTAATAATAATAATAACTGTTTCTACCGTCCAGTCTAATCCCAATGCCGTTTTCGCTTCCAGACAGGTCAGTGCCTTCAAATAACTACTGACTTCTAAAGAGTAACTACCCATCAAGTAATCAGGTTCCAACAGATTGAAAATCTGATGTACCCATGTGATTAATAGCCTTCACAGATGTATAAATTTCCTCTCTACGGTTACGACAAAAGGATTTTATAGGTTTTTCTAAAGTTTAAGTAATCTTATCACCCTAAAGTAGCGGAACGATAAAGAAGAGTTATATCAGAATAGTGTGTAAGAGTCAATTTTTAATTTTTATTCATCTTCTGCTGTAAATGATTAGATCAGACATACACTAGACTTGAAATACATGAACTGTCTGTTATGCGTATACAAGAGACATCAGAAATCATAAATCTTGACAAGAATAAAACAAAACACTGAACTGACACCTTTTCAACCAGATTTTTATATTATGAAAAATATACATTAAAACACACTGTACAATAGTCGATTAGATAACATTTATCATCGTTTACAATCCAATCCAATCACTTCACAGGTTCTGTTCCAAAGCCATTTACTCTCTTCACTGTTTCTAAGCAGATTAGGCAGTTCTTTTAACTGACAATTTTTATAATACCCACCAGATACTAAATTGTCTGTAAGCACTGTGTACAATACTGTTTGTGCCATCTCCCATTGACTGGGAAATATTGGAGTGATTAGAAAATTAGCGATTTTCTGTTTCAAAAGAAATTAAAGCATAAACTGTTTTATTATTTATCATTCAAAAAAAGTTAAAAGTTAAAGTTCTCCAATGGTTCTCTAACCGATGTCAGCTCAGGATGAAATCCTGCAACCGATCAATCAAATCCCTACAAACCAATACTTTAATTACACAAAGTATGTTCGGCAAATGAAGTAAATCTATTGCTAAAGCAATCACAAATTCAAAATCTTTGAATATTTTCATTGCTTAACTGAAAAATATCCTTTTCAATAGGTTTGTTTCATAATCTGTGGTTTGAAATTCAAATTTATGGTCTTAGTCAGTAGTCAGTTAATATGATGAAGACGTTTCCAAATGGAATATGAGTGTACAAAAAAAATTGAATTAAATTAAACCAGTTTAAGTTTGTAAACGAAATGATAATTTATAATTGCGTGTAAAATGCGGTTAAAATAAGTATTAAGCATTTGGTGCTTATTCGTAATCAGCTGATATACGTTGGTGCAAGGGTAATGGGTGATACATTCCAAGGTTTCTATAGTCATTTATTAAGTGGCTAGTCTGAAAACGGTGTGCGTTAAAGTAGTGATAGTAAAGATGAAACGAATAGTTCATTAAAAAGAAATCGATAGGCGCCTTGGTTGACATGATGTCATAGAAATGGTGACAATACACTATAAGTAAGCTACAGTATGGTTTTAATTTTAGTGCAAATATGTTAGAAAAGAATAATGGGTAGGTAACTAGAGAGACAGGTAGAAAGGAAGATGGAGGCAGAGAGAGCGGAGAAAACTCATAAAGCCCTACAATGAGAAAAGAGTGATCAGTTTCAACTGAATAAAAATGCCAATTAAATTTTTTTTTTTTTCAAAAGAATGTTTACTGAACATGGAATACTCTTTTCGATAACTTCATCATCAGTTATATACAATTATATATACATTATAGTGAATGAATGAATTAGTGTTATTAACAACATAATTGTTTAAATAACATCGAATCACTAATATCAATAGATTACAGTTCAATAGCATCAACATAACAATAAACTGAATGTCAGAAAAATTAGGAAAGATAGTAATAAAAATTTGTGAATTTATAGTCTCTACTGAAGACCAAGGCAGTAGTAGTGGCTGAACTTGCTTCTTTTGCACACAAAGCGCTGGTTGTTTCGCGCGAATCGCGGTAGCCTTTACTGTTTGGAGTATGCGGCACCTCGATGTTTTTGGCAATTTATTTGGTACCCGGGAGATGAAAGAGAAGCATTCTCCAACGGTGGCTTTGTGGCCCGTTTGGAACAGGTGGTCTAATATCGATGATGATGAAGTTATCGTAGAGAATATTCTTTGTTCAGTGAATAGTTTATCAAGGGCTAGAGGAGGAATAACGCTTCAATGATTTTTTCTTTCGGAAACAGAGCTTTTACTTAGTCAATCTTATTACCTTACCGTCAGTCATTTGAAGAAGGCTGATATATATATACAGGTGACTCATTAATATTCATTATTTATTTCCCACACTTGCATAATCATTGATTTCCCGCATCTGCGTGATTATTGATTTTAGTTACTGAATTCCCATGGTTTGTTAATATTTTTAAAATGTGACATTGATTTTCCTAACTGTATAAATACGGAGTTTTTGTTTAACATTTCGACTGCTGCTAGAGACAGTAAAAGCTCTCGTATCAACGTCCAGTCTTCTTTCTTTGCCTTGCGTGCCCGGCGGTATTGTTCTTGTTGTTGACGTGCGATTAGGACAGATTAGCCAGCGCATTAGTTAGATTCGCTCGTAGTCTACAAGGTCCTCATAATATCTCATACATAACAAAGGCACAAACCGACTGCGCATGCTAGTATTACTCATAGATAATTTTTCGTAGCGAACTCGAGTCTAGGTGGTGTTTTATGTCTACTGAATATTCTTAAAGAAAATTTCAACTGACTCAGCTTCATTCATTCCAAACAGATGGGCGTATGATTTTGACTTTGAAAATACCACTGCCTAATCGCATGCCCGATGCTATATGATCTGCGGAAATAAGTAAACTGAACATGTATGACACTAAGGTGTGATTAGGCGAAGTGTACTTCAATCTCTGTTTTAGCATTAGACAAGTATTACCATTTAAATACAAATATCTTTTTTTTGTGTTAGAATTTCACAAGTTGTATCTCCATCGGAATGTGAATGCGAACTAGTGGATTTTCTGTTCATTGTTATTAGTGTATATTTACAATTATAATGAACTATGTTAGCTTCTATAAACTTTTTAAGATACCTGGTTTAACTTAAAATATCTCGGTGTTAACTGGATGTTCAAGTATTGGTTTGTAGGGATTCGATTGATTGGTTACAGGATTTCATCATCAGCTGACCGTGGTTAGAGAACCACTGGAAAACCAACTGGGACTAATGGACAGCCAGCTGTTTCGCCCTAGTTCGAGACTCCACCTCATCAGTACTCACCCACACTGTGGGGTTCAAACCCAGGACCTTCTGGTTACAAGGCGAGCTGGCTCGTGGACCATTCAGACACTGGGACTCAATCCAAAGTCCAGCCCAAGAATTCCAGCTTCTGCCAACTCACGACATAGTGGACCACTAGTCAATGTCTTCGGCGAGTATTTTTCCTCACACCCGACCTGCTTTACCCTACTGATCATGACTTCCCTCTAGAACCCGCAGTAACTACCTACCTAAATATGGTCAGTCTCTAGTGAGCATCTCATTGATATTCAATTATTGGTTGTCGTTAATAACTTATGTCTGAAACACTTTTGTTTACTTCACACACTACTGATTGAAATGAGTAGCTAATCTCCTTATTTATTTTATTCCTTAAAGTTCTGAAAGGAACACAGGGCTTCAAGCTAGAGCTTTACAGTTTCGGTAGCAGTGATGTTTATTTTTACGGGGTGACGTTGCTAGCCTCATGCCAAACCTTCCCTCTTTACTCGCCTTACTGCCGGCTTAGCGAGGTGAAGGAGTGCATCCGCTGGGGATTGGACCTCGGACGACGTGGGTGGTTGGTGAGCCTTCTACCACTGAGCCACCAAAATTAGTAGTTAGAAACCACTTATGTCAAACATTTGTGCACTCTAACTGGATCAAATTAATCTGAATACTGTATGACTGCTTCGCTTATTCAGAGTTCAGTGATCAACAACGTATGCGGAAACACGCAGACTAGGAAGTCAAAAAACAAGTTCAAGCCACCTTGATTCTGGCAAGCTACTTGGGTGAAATGGTAATACCTGGAATTCGGGTGGTTCAAACTGACGTGAGTAGTTATCACCTACTGATACCTATCAGCAGTACATACCAAACGCAGCGTTAAATGATTTTATGCTTGAGGACCTGACAATTTCAGATTTAAAAGTGAAACGATTGGTTATTAGGCAGTAAACATTGTTACTTTGCCTAACCCTCACTGTTACGGGACTTCGAATTGCATTTCTCTGACGTCATGACTGCTTCGCATAACTTAATGACTGATATTGTTGAATGCTAGAAAACGTTTACTGAAAAATACTCACTATAGCCGAAAGACATTACAAATCGATTAGCCATCTCTTACAACAGCTACTGTTTCGAGCGTCTCTTAGATAAGTTTCAAGATGACTTATAGTTATCTAATATAATAACTGAAACTGAACAATAAGGTCCATTTTTCGAGTAAACAGATCAATTATCTGTGTTTAATTCTTCAAGGCGTTCTCCACCTTATCATCAAGATTTGTTGATGAGGAACATGCTTGTATTTGTTATGCTGCCACTAATTCATGCAAAGTCAAATAGGAAATATGATAGACTGTAAACTTTCAGAAAACCTTTAGGTCTATACTCGAAGAAATGACTTCAAGTGAGACAAATATTAAGCATTATTCCTTCATCTTCATCTTCAAGTTTTGAATTACTAATCATCAATATATACTTATTATTCACAATGACTCACATTTATGAAGGATTTAAAGCTTTTATTGTTTCCACCTTTAAAAAATCCAGCATATGCGCTAACCACCATAATATCTGTGTGTTTAAGATATTCACTCAATTCAAGCGTATACATTATGTTTGCCAATTGGGAATGATAATAAGCATCTATTGGGCTGTAATTTGATTGATTCATTTGTAAATTTGGCCTACTCACATGATTGTGTTGATGATTTCTAAAGCATACATTAATTATTCTTGACGATGTACCTTTCAATAATAAAGGTAGCAGTAATTGTGTCAGCAGGAATGAGGAGAAATAATTTACACCCATTGTCATTTCAAAGCCATCATTAGTTGTTGTATACTTCTTTACACTTTTTATATTTGCATTGTTAATGAGAAAATCTAATTTATTATGTGTTTCTATTATTCGTTTTACAAATTCTCTGATAGACATCAGCGAAGTGAAATTGATTACTTCAATCACCAGCTAAATGTTAAATAGGATGAGAAATAAACAAAACAAAAAAAGTAAAAAGAAACTACTCTTCATGGCTAAATATTTGAACACCACAAGATTTATGCCTTAAAAGTGGTTACTAAAATTATCTGTCACATTGCCGCAAACAAATAAATGAAATAAATCAATTTTACAACTCTTTCTTAGAAACTTCAAAACGAAGGCAATTGTTACACAATCTGTTTAAAATATTCGAAAGTAGAGGATCGAAACAGTTTGTCTCCTTAGTAAAAATCTGGATGGGGTGATCAATAGCGAAATCGAACTTTCGAAATATTCGGCATGTTGGCCAACGATAAGGCATTTCAACTTAAATTTCATTAACACCCTGGGGCAGTCAGAAAATCAATAAAGATAAGAAATACTGAAGAGCTGCTCAGTTAAAGTTTAAGATTCTTCAATAACGTGCATGGATGAACAAGACATGAATCAGGAGAATATAGTCACTTTAAGAACACTATATTCCCTGCTGCCATAGGGTTGATATTCAACAGTCCATGAATTTGTTGTTTGCTGACAAATGTTGACTCATCGCGAAAATATCTTCATATCAGTCGAATTTCAAAGAATACAGCAATTAAAAATGAATATAAAATGATGCATTACCCATTCTTCTCTAACCTGGTGGATTTGATTTACTCAAAATTGACTCTTAAAAATTAAAAAAAGACTTGCTAGTGAAAAAAGAATATTCTTTGCTATCTACTTATTAATAGCTTCTACAATTATGTATATTACAGCAATAAGTAAAGAAACATTCTTAACAACAACAAAATTAGTGCTTTGAATCACATCACATCAACAGAATCGACATATCCCATTGAAGAAGCATCAGTAAGGGAGAGAGAGAGATAATGTTCATTAACATAACACTAACTAAGCTGAACATCAGATAAATTAAGGAAGGTAATACAGAAATTATGCATTCAAAGTCTCGAGAGAAGGCCAGGACAGTAGTAGTAGTAGTAGGGGTTGTACCTGATTGGTCTTCTACACACACAGCTCCAGTTGATACAAGCCAATTGCAACGGCCTCTATCTATTTGCAATGTTCGGTATCTAGAAGCCTTTGGTAGTTTATTCGATAACCAGTAGATGAAAGAGGAAGGTTCTTCAATGTTGAATTTGTGGCCTGTTGTGGTGAGGTGGTTCAACATAGAACTGTTGATGGTTTTATTAGCGCCTTTATTTAAACATACTGTTAGGTGTTCCCGAGTAGGAAAAATTAGGTTCCTAGGGTGATGACCAGTATAACTGGCTCCACAGGAGCAACCGACTGATAAATATAATCAGTGGTGGCCAGTCTAGGTACTTGGTCTTTCACTTCCGGAATTTCAGGCTGTTATGTGGAAAATATTAGCTGCAGCCCTCCGGCATTGAATGTTTGCTGGATCGATTTTCTCAGCTTGAAGGCTATTACTTAACCTGGTATTAACCCTTTGAATTGTAGTCGTATATATATCTCGTTAACAGATAACGAAGAATTCTCCTCTACTTTCTTGGTTATGTGTTTCGTGACGAACTTCTCAGGGTAGCTGCTTCCATTTAACCTGTCGTATACAACTTTAAGTTCGTCTTTAGTCGCAACTTCTGGGCAAATAGCTCTGACCGTATAGCTGAGTCTCTTTACCAAATTTATTTTTCACGGGAAAAGAGGAACAAAGCCTTGAAGATGTGTATATTGACCGGTCAGAGAACTTTTCTTATGCAAATTGCTTTTGATGCTACCACTTGGTCTTCCTGTCAGCAGGACGTCTAAGAAGGCTAAGATTCTTCCTCACATGTAAATCTGATAGCTCGATATACTTCAGTGAATTAATTCCTATCCAGATCATTTTCACAAAGAACGGAGGTTTCATCCATATACCGGCAATAAAATGGGAATTTTCTGATAAGATTCCTCAGAGGAGGTTGAATGTAATTTAAAACATTAATGTTGTTAATAAAAATATTTCTTTAATTAGTACCATTATATGAATGTAGAAGCTGATGACGAATTTATGGCAAAGAATATTGTTTTTAAAACATCACCGGTTATTATTTTTTTAATTCCTTCACTTTCCAAGTGGAACATAGGGCTTCAAGCTAGAGGCTTGAAGTTTCTGTAGCAGTGTTCATTTTTACAGGATGAGGTTGCTAGCCTTATGCCCAACCTTCCCTCTTTACCAGCTTTTTAACTCTGGTTTAGCGAGGTAAAGGTACGGGTTATTAATTCGTTCTATTATTTTATATCTTTATATCTTTTTACACTCGTTGTTCCAAAATACTGGGTTTATTTCGATCTTATTGACTGATATGAAGGCATATTTTGCAACAAACGGAGATTCGGCAAGCAACCATTTAGCATCTGGGAGCATGCATGTTCAATTCGCAGGCCATTGAATTCCAACCCACTGGGTGAATAACAACGTGCTTAGATCAAAAAATGAATAATTTTTCTCCTAATCCCTTATTGGATTATATATATACAAATTGTTAGAGAGTTCCAATCTGTGACAAAAGAGTTATTCACTGCTCTGTAGTCTGTAGTGGTTATCTAACTGACATTAGTCTGTCATAAAATCTACCTTGAAACGCTTTGTTATTGTAAATTATGCCAGTAGTTACAGCTTATACGCTGTAGGCCTTAGTTACCTACTTATGATAATTAGTTTTTGTTTTCTAATGTGTTATTATTATTATTACTTCTTTTAATTCTTAGAGGAACATAGGGCTTCAGCCACACGTCTCCACTGCGTTCGGTTCTCTGCTTAAGTTTTCACCTGGCTCCAAGTCTGCCCACATGCTTTCATCCCTTCCGGGTTCCACTCGAGGGCTTGTCTAGTGATGTCACTGGATGGTTTCCTCAGAGTATGGCCAATCCACCTCCATTTCTTCCTGCTTATTTGAGGCACTTCTAATGTGTTGGCCAGATTTTATGAACACAGTGTTCAATTTTGTCAGTATTTCGAAGTGGAATTTAGTATAGCATAGAAAAAGGGTGTAGCATATTATTACCGGTTGTTTGAATAATAAGTTATAACCTAATGGACAAGCGAATAAGGCAATTCATCCTATGCAATATAAATAATCACAATGATTTGTCTCTACAGGTCTATTGCTACGATTAGATATCGCTCATAAACTAAAATTCTATACAGTTTCACATACCTGATGTGCTTCAATAGGCGTAAGACAAGGGATTATTTCTTTACACGATATATCAGTTTTCAAGTGATCAGGATTTTTGACACCATATTTCTCAATTAAATGAATTTTAACTGATTCAGCCTTATCCACATCTTGACTAGCCATAATCACTGTTGCTCCGCGTCTTGCCACTTCTCCAACTATACTTAAACCAGCACCAATATAACATCCTGTAACAATTCCAATTTTCCCGTCTAATCTTTTTGGAATACAGCACAATTTCGTCCAAAATCCAACAGTTTCACTCATAATTCAAATAGTTATAGGTTATTTTTCTTCACTTTGAATAAACTGATTATTTCCCTTAAGCACTTCAGTCTTTTCTATTGGTTAAAATAATTGTTCGCCACAAAAACACTGAAAATGCATGTGCTATTTTAACCAGTGATTATGCTAGACAAGACACGAATAAACAGCCAATGAATGACTTAGACTGTTGAGGAAATTATACAAAAAATAACAAATTTTATTACAGATAATTTTCTAGAATTTGTTTATCAAATACTTTGATTAAAACATGACATGAAATTAATTCAACGACTGGAAAATTAAATTATCACAATTATAAACAGTTCAACACTTTCACACATATAATTTAAATTTTCGAATCAGTACACTTTTCTCAAAGGTGAAAGTCCAAAACAGATTAATAGATAAGCATTGTATCCTTTGAGTGTCTGTCTATCTTTTTCAGTAGTAGTTACAAATGAGATTACAGCCAAGAAATGGTCTTCAGATAGGGGAATACTGAACTATTAGATCATACATTCGTTTGTCAGCATTAATTTACGTGATATGTGTGATAATTTGCAATATTTATTTTTAATTCATGGATAATCCCCATCCAGGCATTAATGAAAACAAAACACGTAGATCAGCGAAGAGTCTCTTTTCGGCGAATTCATCTTCTTAGCTGTACAATCGCAAATATATATGCATTGTTTTGTATGTATGTGTACATTAAGTTTGTCAAACAAAGTTACAATCGGTCAAGGTTAATTTTAACTAAACAAGTGAAGGTTGGTAATACAGGTCAAGAAAACTAGGTGTTAATGAAATTAGGGTAGTAACAAAGGTGATGAGTTGTCACAAACAGTTGTTAAAAGAAGTTATGCAATAATAATATGAATATTTTGATGAGTGAGTTTTACTCAGGATGCACATAGAAACAAAGTAGATAATACGAAACTATGTAAGAGATCTAAGTGAATACAAGAATTATAAGCAACTAAGGAACAGGCATTCATTTAGATCTCTTACATAGTTTCGTATTATCTACTTTGTTTCTATGTGCATCCTGAGTAAAACTCACTCATCAAAATATTCATATTATTATTGCATAACTTCTTTTAACAACTGTTTGTGACAACTCATCACCTTTGTTACTACCCTAATTTCATTAACACCTAGTTTTCTTGACCTGTATTACCAACCTTCACTTGTTTAGTTAAAATTAACCTTGACCGATTGTAACTTTGTTTGACAAACTTAATGTACACATACATACAAAACAATGCATATATATTTGCGATTGTACAGCTAAGAAGATGAATTCGCCGAAAAGAGACTCTTCGCTGATCTACGTGTTTTGTTTTCATTAATTTATTTTTAAGTCTTCAAGGAAGTGTGTGGTTTGTGTTTAAGCTACTATTATGAGTTGTACAAATGCTATCGCTTTTTTTTTTACAAAAGTTATCTACGCATCATGATTGATTGGTAATCCTAACGACTGAGAAAAAATTAAAAAAAAGCATGTGTCTATATATAATGCACCATTACCAACGTTCTTAAGTAGTTAATAATATTAGTGGTTGGCAGTTGCTCTAGGAGCCTAAATTTTCCTGCTCGGGAACACCTACTAGTATGGTTAAATAAAGGCGTTGTTAAAACCATCAACAGTTCTATATTGGACCACCTTACCACAATAGGCCAGAAAAGAATTCTTCGTTATCTGTCAACAAGAAGTAAACATTTATACAACTACAATTCAAAGGGGATATACCAGGTTAAACAATAGCCTACAAGCTGAAAAAATCGATCCAGAAAACATTCAGTGCCGGAGGGCTGCAGCTAATATTTTCCACATGACAGCCTGCTATTCCGAAACTGAAAAATAAAGTACCTTTGATCATATTTATCAGTCAGTTGCTCCTGTAGAGCCAGTTATATTGTTCATTACTCTAGGAACCTAATTTTTCCTGCTCGGGAACACCTAACAGTATGGTTAAACAAAGGTGTTGTTAAAACCATCAACAGTTACATATTGAACCACCTAAACCACAACAGGCCACAAATTTAACATTGAAGAATCTTCCTCTTTCATCTACTGGTTATCGAATAAACTACCAAAGGCTTCTAGACACCGAACATTGCAAATAGATAGAGGCCGTTGCAATTGGCTTGTATCAACTGGAGCTGTGTGTGTAGAAGACGAATCAGGTCCAACCCCTACTACTACTACTACTACTACTACTACAACTAATACTACTGTCCTGGCCTTCTCTCGAGCTTCTTAATGCATAAGTTCTGTATTACCTTCCTTAATTTATCTGATTTTCAACTTAGTTAGTGTTTTATTAATGGTCATTATCTGTCTCTTCCTTACTGATGCTTCTTCAATGGGATGTGTGGAAGCTGTTGATATGATGTGATTCAAACCAATTATGCTGTTGTTAAGAATGTTTCTGTACTTATTGCTATAATATACATAATTGTAGAAGGTGGTGACGAATTGATGGCAAAGAATATTCTTTCTTAATTAATCAGTCTTATTATTGTAGAGGAATGGAATGGAATACTGTGGAATTTGCTTATTAATCATGGGAACAACGGAAAGACAATTGCACGGAAGTAAATGTTGTCTTTTCGATGTCGTCAACTAGACTGTATATTATTGAATATAGAACAAAGGGGTGGGAAAGTTGCGGAACTATTTTTGGTCAGAAGTCAAAATGTGATGAATAGGTAGGCGACGTTACATAATGCGATTAGGGAATAAATTAAGAAGATAAACAGAAAGAAATTAAGCAATAATAATAGTGAGAATAAACTGGTTATGATTGTGGTGATGAAGATAAAGGTTGAGCAACCTTCTTTTAGATGCATGGTGTTGGTTTGAATTTTTGATTTCTTAATGCTTCAGGTATGTCTGTGTGTCTTGAATTTACTGCTTTTCAGGGGCCTGATTGGATTTCTTATAAGACATTGAAGATTTTCTCACGTGGACCTAGGTGTTTAAATTTCAGGAAGTGTTCTTTCGCCGGACAAACGATACACCTCCGTTCCCTCTTTGTGAGCCAGTCTAAGCTTTGTTGACCAGCGGCTGTTGCAAGTGGACAGGTGATAGTGTCAATGTACTCTTTTCAGGGTGTTCTCAGCTCCTTGATCTTCGGGCTCGCGACTGACCTCCTATAGGACTGCAGTGGGTAGTTTGATTGGACACTAGTAACTAGTGTGACGTGTCTAGTTCTTTCTTTGGTGCAGACTGAATTCTATCAGTCAGGTTTGTAATGTGGCCACCATTCTAGGTAGCTCGCCATCACGGTGCACATTGATGTAATGATATTATATAGTTGGAGGCAATCGGCAAGAAGCCTTGGACCTAGGTTTCGTGCTAGTTGTCACTCGGCAGCAAGGCGTATATGCAACCTTTAAGGAACTCATGTCCCTTCTGTGAATCGAACCCCTAAGAAAGAATGACAACCATTTGAGGAGATCTGTCTACAAAAATTCTACGTGGAGCAGACAGTCTATTGACTTGCGAAATTCTTTCAGACATCTATAAAAAACAAAATAATTGTGCAAAGAATATTCTTTTCGATAATTTCCTCTTCTGGCTCCACATTTATATGTATGCTTTTATACATAGTTTATTCTAGAATAGTGGTTGCTGAGTGCAGACGGCTATGCAGAAAATTCTATTGATAAGAATATGAGTCTAAAATCAAAGCAGCCCAAGGTACCAACAGTTCCTAAGAAGGCCTTATTTTACAGATACAGTTCTTCGGAGATATCATCAGCGACATACCAATACAAAGCCTTAGAAATGCGGTGAAAAGAGCATTCCCTGCTGCTGAATTACGCTGTGTCTTCAACACCACCCATGTTTTGCGTTCGGGAGTATAGATAAGCTGCCTAATTTTGCCTATTCCATGTGTTTATCTACCAGTTGAACTGCTCCTGTGGAGCCATTTACATAGGCCATACAATTAGGCATGTTTTTCGTCGAATTTCCGAACATCACCCTGCGTGGTTAGGTAAGGGACAAACAAAATCTATTTGCAGCGCTACTATATCTCATCTTGTGGATGCAGAAAACAAGACAGATGTCAGCGAGGCCTTCAAAGTCATTTACCACATACCAACATATCTTAACCTCGCCTACTACATATTGCTGAGACCATTGGGATCCACATTAAGAAGACTAATTTATGTGTCTAAAAGAAGCTAGTTCAGACATTGTCCTTACCTTGGCCAACTAGGTTCTAAGGATCCTCAAATTTTCGTAGAAATTTCCTTAATTTTATTTGATATTCTATTTGCTATTCTATTTTTATTATAATTATAATTTAAGTATCTTTAAGGAACTGTGATTTCATTGTTCTCACTTAACAAATCGATAGTATTTAAAAAACACTAATATTGTTATTGACTGCTATACTACAATATTCTGTGTATATAAACATATATATAATTGTAGAGCCAGAAGAGGAAATTATCGAAAAGGTGATATTCTTTGCTCAATTATTTTGTTTTTTCAAAATTCTGACTTTCACGACGGAAACAGGAATCTCATTATTCTACTCAGTGATCCGAATATTGTGAACTGAGGAATTTTTCAATAAAGAAATATATTCAGAATATACTAAAGGCTACATCACTAGTTAACAATGTACCAAATTGTGCGTGTGTTTGTGTGCTTTGTAGTATTTTAGCCTGAAAGTAATCAACTGCATTAGAATGAAAAATATTCAGTAAGTCTGAAAATATAACAAATAAAAAAGTAAGTTGTAACGGGTTAGGCTACTGGGTAGTGATTCAATAAAATATGATATTTTCTAAATTCAATGAATTCTTCTTCAGCTATACCCAGAGATATATTATTCACGTATTAGGCTAACTGATGCAGTTGCAAATGAATTTTACAAAAAATCATTGTCTGATACAATATTTCATGTTTGTGGTACATGTACAGAATGAGTTCAAATATTTTACCAATTCAAATCTGTCTTAGACGACCCACTTGATTGCCTTTAACTATCTAAGCCCAATTGA